TGGGAATTCTGTTTTCTTAGTGAGATATTAACCTGTTATTTAAATTCCTTCAATTTTTAAAATCAAGAACACTTGAAATCTGTTTCCTGTTTTTCTGCATGTGATATAATTTCTTTTACTTGAAAAACACTCCCATAACCTTAAATGCTATTAAGCTGAAGCTTGTCTAACATCATGCTTTTGTATTTACTGTTTTCACTCTTTGGTTTTGTTCTTTTATGTTATATTTTCTTACCTCTTCTACCATCCTATTCCCTTGAAATGGTATACAGGCTTTTCTTTAGTGCTACTTCCCGTTATTTTAAAAAGTCTATTTACAAAACATGAGGCTGGAGCTCAGTCTGTAAAGTATGAGGACATGAGCTCAAGCAGCAGACTCAGTGTGGGGTTCACACTGATAGTCCCAGTGCCAGGAAGACACAGACAACAGTGGATTCCTGCTGACTGCTATCAGCCAGCCATCCTAACTTACTGGAAAAGCCCTAGATCCCAGTAAGAGACCCTATCTCAGAGTCTGTTCCTAAGGAATGGCACTAAGAGCAGTGCTCTGACTGCCACGTGCACCACCCTCCCCAACATACACCTGCTGTAGTGCTATCTACCTGTAATCCCAGTACTTGGGAAATTTAAGACGGAGATTAAGACTTCAAAGCCAGTCTGGACTTTATATATTAAGAAGTGAACCTACCAACCAATAGAACAAAATAAAAACCCCAAAAACACTCGGGGAGGGGAGAGGGATTTGAAGCTAAAAGGTAGCCATGCTTCTAAGACTTTAATGATATTTGAAATTTCTACTGTGTCTAGCTGTTAATATTTCTGTAAGCTTTCAGACATTCAAAAGATTCCAACTCTGATGTAATGTCAGTCACATCTTTGCAAAAAGTAGATTTTAAAATCCCATACTGCTTTTCATGCAAGTTGACAACATTTCAGAAATGTTCAGAAGGTAAGATGGAACTTTCTTAATAACATTAAATGTTTTCTTTAGTATTTTAACTTATAAAGTCCTTTCCTAAACTTACATTACTTTTGTTTCTACTTTGAAGAACATCATTTAATTATTTATTTTTGGTTTTTCAAGACAGTGTTTTCTCTGTAGTTTTTGGAGCCTGTCCTGAAACTGTCTTGTAGACCAGGCTGGCCTCAAACTCACAGAAATTGCTTGCCTCTGACTCCCAAGTGCTGGGATTAAAGGCGTGCACCACCACCGCCTGGTTACATCATTTATTCTTTAAGTCTGTGCTTTTACTCAAAATTCCACCAGGAGAGAAGAAAGGAAAACCTAGTATGCAGGGCAGTGACTTCCGCTGCATGTAGCTCTGCCCTTTGCCAGTGGCTGCAAAGCCTCAGGCAAACGGCTTTTTTTTTTTCTGAATTTATACGCCCAAAATTTGGGCGCCAGATGTAGCATGAATTCTAATTGGTTTTAATAATAAAAACCCAGAGTCACATATCAGAGGCAAAAACTGAAAGACCAGAGAAGCAGAGCAGTCAATCACTAGACTGTTCTTACCTCTTCCTCTACCAAGGCTCAGACCAAAAGGGCGATCCTATTTTTACAAATCCTCAGATTCCATCTACCTCTATAACTTCTCAGACTGCATCTCCTCCCAGTTTATATTTCTCTATCCCTGGTGCTGAGATCACTTTTGTGTGAGCTCTGTTTCTCTTTTAGACAGATTCAATCCTGTATGGCTCAGGGTAGCCTTGAACTCACAGAGATTCATCTGTCTCTGCCTCTTTAGTGCTGGGATTAAAGGTGTGTGCCCATTGCCTGGCCTCTATGGCTAACTAGTAGCTTAGCTCTGCACTCTGATCTTCAGGCAAACTTTGTTAGATCACAAACAAAATATCACTACAGAGCTCCTGTTGCATTCCTCAGGGGACAAGACAACTACTGGAGCCAGGTTATTTATCCTCACTGAACAGACACATTCCAATTCTACTAGTGTTACCATTCATTAGCTTGCAAAGTTCATTTCCCATTTGGTACTGCAGATTGCATTATCTCCAATCAAGAAACCAACTTTTTGGCAACAGAAGTATAACAATGCTTTCTATTTTCCCCAGTATTCTCAGTGCTTTATCTAATAACTTACTCATAGTATTTTTGCTTGCTTCATACCAACTGAACTCTGTTGGCTTGGTTTTGATGCTTTTATCAGGAGAACACAGTCATTCTTCTATTGAATTGGAAACTTCTCCTGGCCACTGAACCAACAGGTGGCAAAGATAGTCATAAGTGATTAATCCTAATGACCAAGGAAAAATTGAGTTGAAGCACACAACAGGGGATAAAGGAACTCTCTTTGTGTGCTTTATAGTATGATCATGTCAAAATACAACTAAAAACAAAACAAAACCAAAAAAAAAAAAAAAAAGGCAAGACAATCAAGAACACTTCGCAACACAGTTCTTCTCTCACTATGGTAAAGAACCCAGAACAGTCAAGTTTCAGCTGAAGGCAGGAATTCTGAATGACTAGTAAAAGGATGAGAACTACACCTATGACCAGTTATAGAAACAAAGGCTCCAGTAATGTTTTATAGGGTATTATGCTTATACTTGTACAAGTTATTTTCTCCCCCGTTCCCTTTCTTATATTTATTTTATATACAAAATATTAGGAGTGAACCTTATAAAGTAAGCTTTAATCAATAAAATATTCAGATGAAATATATAATTGGTATAGTTAGAAATGATGAGTAGAACTATGCACCTCTTTATTTGGGTCAGAATTTAGAATGGTACATTAGTGAAGGATTGTTGTATTTTATTAGGCAAAAAGTTGTTTTGTTGTTGAATAGAAACCTTTTAGGTTTGTTTTTAACTTGGGATCTCGGGGTTGGATGAATTATTTTTTTTTTATCCTTAACATTACAGAGGGTTCATATTCTTTTAGTATCAATTTTTAGAGCCAACTGCAACTACAGCAAAACAAGTCAAAATTTATGTGCTGCTTATTTTATGCCAATTGTCACTTTACATACTTTTATTTCCAATCATTCTTTATTTATTTATTTATTTATTTATTTATTTATTTATTTATTTATTTATTTATTTATTTATTTAGAGGCAGAGTTTCTCTGTAGCTTTAGCCTTGGAGTCTGTCCTGGAACAAGCTCTTGGAGACCAGGCTGGCTTTGAACTCAGAGATCTGCCTGCCTCCACCTCTTGAGTGCTGGGATTAAAGGCATATGCCACCACCACCAAACATAATTCATTAATCTTAACAAGCATCCAATAACCTTTAACAATTTCTTCATGCAAAAATTAAATATCTACTACCAATATTCTTTAATATAAAGATTAAATAAACTACTATAACTAATCATGCTTACTGTGTTTTTGGTAGCTATATCCAACATAACTTTATTTTGTAAAAGCTTACATACTCCTATGAGTTATTTTTAAAACTCAAACTTCATTGCCTAGATTATAAACTAATAGCCAGTTATTGGCTACAGTTTTTACAACAAATTTTTGACTATTTACAAACCACAGGAAGACTGAAGAACTATTCAAAAGAAAATACTAATACTAAAAACAACCACAAGCAGTGGTTTCAGAACTAACTCAATGCAAATTAAATATTTTGAGTTTCACAAACAAAAGGAAGGGAATAGAAGAAAGGTTTAAATAACCAAGAATCAACAAATTTTCCTTGTAGAAAAGTTTTTGTTTTGTTTTGGTTTTTTGAGACAGGGATTCTCTGTGTAACAACTCTAGTAGACCAGGCTGGCCTTGAACTCAGAGATCTGTATGCCTCTGCCTCCCAAGCGCTGGGACTAAAGGCATCACCACCACCACCAGGCTTCTTTGTAAAAAGTTAAGATATTTTATTCTACTCATGAAAAAGCACAGATTTCACATAATTGATGGTCAACAATGTAAATTCAAGCAAGATATGACTTTCAACATGGCATATAAACTGAGACATCCCGTGCCGATAGTTAAGTTTAATACATTTTACAATACTGAACTAATTTAGCTGCAATCTCATGTCCCATTTTAAAAGTTTTTGGGGGCAATGAAATGGTTCAGTAGGTAAAGGTGCTTATTGCATCCCTGGAAACCATGTGATAGAAGAAGAGAACTAACTCTTTCAAGTTGTCCTCCAATTTTCCCACACATGCAAAATGGTATAGCTTGAGTATAACACATAGACCACACAGAGTGTAGCACACATACACTGAAAAGACTTGTTGAAAGGAAGGGGTTTAATAAGAAGGGAACAGAATCAAAATACAAGTAAATTGTGAAACAACACATTTTAGAAGAATATATAAAAAACAAAAAGTAAACCAGTGGTGGTGGGCACATCTTAAATTCTAGCTCAGGAGGCAGAGGCAGGCAGACTTCTTTGAGTTTGAGGACTGCTAGGGCTACACAGTGAAACCTTGCCTCGAAAAACAAAACAAAACAAAAATGTAATTGTGAAAATTGTTAAAAACTACTTTAGTTAGCCATTTAGACTTAACTAGTCTATTTCACACACCCAGTCTATCAAACTGCTTCTACTATTATACCCATTTAAAGGTAAACTTAGAGGTTTAGAATCTGCTAAAGAATCACTAGGCAGAAATAAGAACTTCAGCAATCTGATTCTTAGAGTATGAGCTCTTACAGACTTCTGAGAGCTCTGAGCAGAAGAACTTGCTAAAGACTCATGACAATACTTACCAAGGATTATTATTATCTTTGTTTTACAGAAAACTACAATTTGTTCTAAGTCATAGAAACTGTTTAAGGTTCAAATAGAAAGAAGGGAAAATTACATCGTCAGAATTTTAAGTGTTAAACGCCTGCCAATAATGTCCAATTAGGTAACAACAGGAAAATATACTTTTAAATGAAACAAAAGAGTTGTACCATTAACTTTGCCTACCTAGATGAAGCAGACTGCGCACTGTGGCTGAGGCTAGAGTACAAGTTCAAGGATACATAATTAAGGTCCAATAACAAAACAAAACCACACAGTATCTATGGAAACTTACCTGCAAGGAGGAAGGACCATAGAGTCTTTTACAAGTACAGATCCAGAAAGCAGGATATACCAACATCTGGCAATAGTTTCTGAACTGTTTAAATATATAAGAAAAAGAGTAAAGAAAAATGTGTATTTAAGTGTGGATTCAGTATGAATACAAAGCCTAGAATACTTCTAGTAATGCTGCAAATCATTAAAAATTAAGGAACAATATTGAAGAATCTGTATGCTGCCTAAGATTTTACATTAAAGCATGTTCACATGGGGGAAAAGCAGTTTTCTCAAGAAACACACACACAGAATGGAAACAAAAAACTTCACATCACTAGTAAGCAATACACAATGAGAACACATTAAATACATTTTAAGAAAATTCTCAGAAATTAACCCAACTTAAGAGGTTCATGAAAATATTGCCTAATCATTGTTTAATGATACCAAAAATCAAAACTAGTTCTCTAAAATACAGTACTATACTGCAAAGGGCAAAATAGCATTCTATCCTGCAGTTCCACAATTATATCATTCCTACCTCTACATATCACAATTTGAGGAGTGCATTTTACTTTATCGTTCATCTATTAATTGTCCTCTTATTTGTATATGATGGGCAATCATACAATCATTACAAAGTACAGTCATATAGGACATACATATACATATTGGACAGCAAAGTAGAGCACACACATCATAAAGAAACCACAAATACTTATGAAAGGTAGGACAGAAAACATCCAGCATTAGTAGATGGGGTTAAAGCTGAAGAATGAGATCAACACTGTTAACATTTTTAGGCACAGGTGGAAAGAGTTGATCAAAAGTATGTAGTTAGCAGTAGTTAAGAAATGCGGGAAGGAGCTGGGTGGTGGTGTGCAAGCCTTTAATCTTAGCACTTGGGAGGTGGATCTCTGTGAGTTCCAGTCCAGCCTGGTCAGAGAGAGTTCCAGGATAGGCTCCAAAGCTACAGAGAAAAACCCTGTCTGGAAAAATCAAAAAAGAGGGAAGATAAAAGGAGGAATATTATACCCAGGGAGTATTTATCAATCAATCCAAGTTTTTAGACAACTTATTTTAGAACTATTCCACTGAAAGTTAGACAACATATTCTGTATAAATGTGGCTTCCCAGAAGATTTAGGAAAGACTGAGGGTATCATATGTTTAGAGTCAACTTGTGGGAAGCAAATACTACCACTGCAGACAAAGCCAATCTATTTACAAGTACTTACACCTGCAGACAATTTAAAATTTCATATAATGTCATAGCCTAAACTTCAAGTCAAGTAGAGCTTTATTGAAAAGTAATTCCAGTTTGAAACCACTAAAGGAGTTGGGGATTTAGCTCAGTAATAGAGCAATTGTCTAGAATGTTTGAGACCCAAGGTTGCATTTCCAGCGTAATAGAGAATGTGAGGATGAGATGGGGGGGAGGAGCGGGAGAGAGGAGAAAAGAGGAAGAGAGGGGGAAAGAAAAAGGGAGGGATAGAGAAAATGAAAAAGGGAAAATGAGAATATTCTTTTTCATACAATTCAACAACTTTTACTAAATGTTCTAGTATTTTTAGATTTCTATTTAACACTCATTTCCTGGGAATTGTCAAAATATTATACTTGACATTAAAATTTTAAATACTGCAGATACTCATTAAATCTCCATTGCCTTTAACAACCAAGATCAAGGATAAAAACAACAAGTCTTCTGAACTCGTTAGACATCTGAAAGTTATTTTTCATTCTCAATGTTTTCTCTCAGGATCTCCTAGGTCACTGCCTTCCTCCTCTACAGACATTTACAATGGCAGACAACTTCTCTCACATGTTTCTTTTGCCTGCGGGTTCACATGGCTCAGTTATAGCTATCAATATCAAACCATTCTTTTCCTTTCCTTATTAAAAATCCCCAGTTTTAAATTTTAGATCATCATATCATACCAGTCAGTGTCCTGATGTAATCAGCTAGACACTGAAGGTCAATCCTTCCATTCCTTGTAGGATGCTTAGTTGCTACAAACCCTTTCTAACAATGGTATCATCAGATTTTATACTGACATTGATATTCATTCCTTCTCAATTTCTTGATCTCTTTAAGGGTTTTTATTTAATATCCCCTCGCCTTGTATTTGAGACAGGGTCTTGCTCTGTAAGTCCAACCTGGAACTTTCTATGTAGATCAGGATAGTCTCAAATTCACAGCAATTTTCCACACTCATTCTCCCACTGCTGAGATTCTTCATGTAATACACCATGCATAGACTATTAGTGATGCTATCTTCTACTTTAAATGAGTTTCCACAGTCATTTTCCGGAATTTTGCTTTAGCACAAACTATCATATCTTCATTAATCTAGAGTTCAAGATTCCAATGTCACCATCTCTTTCCTTTGCAGCTGTTTGCTGCCTTACTCATCATCTATTCCACAATGATCTCACCATCATCTTTTCTCCCTATCTTCTGTACCTACAATTCAATGGTACATTGCCATTATCCTTCTTTTCAACAATTCCCTCAACTCTTTACTCATTCATTTGTAGTGATCTGAAGCTTCCCCAAAATTCCTAAAAAATAGAATCAACCAAATTACAACTTCCACTAATTCCCACACAAGCCACTCAACAGTCTTTGCACCAAGGTGTCTACTCTCTGCACACCACAATGCAGAGAACAAACCACACATCTAATTATACCATGGATAGACGGTATAGGCAGGGCTTCCACTTTTCATGGAGCAGCTGGCATTCAGTCAAAAAAACTGATGAAAACAAAACCAAATAATCGAAAAATGATAGGAAAAAAAAAAAACCCAAACCCACTATATTTAGTAAATTCAAGAAAAAAAAAAAAAAGACAAGATAGAATACTTACCTAAGCACTGAAATCTAAACACACACATCCTAAGAATTCAAACACTGGAGTTTTATTTAGGACTAGAAAGAGTAGAAAACAAGAATTTATAAACCAGAAAGTCAGTAGAAAATAACAGAGGAAGATAAGGATGGAAAATGGTATAAAGATGAGACAAAAAAAATGAAAGAAAGTAATAAAGAAAAATCAGAAAAGAAGCCAATCAGGAAAAAATACTGGCTAAGGATTTCTTAAAATTTATAGAAGACAGCAAGTCAAAGAAAAAAGTCCTATAAATCCTTAACAACAACAACAAAAAAAAATTCTTAAAAAAATCACATTTAAGGACACTAGACACAACTGCTGAGGAGAAAATTTTTCAGAAGTATGAGAAAGTAATGTCACTCACAAAACAACAGCAGTAACAACTGACTCTTTAACATAAATGTACGGGACATGCTAAATCAATGTTTAAGAAGTACTAGAGAGGAAAAAAGACTGCATACATTTCAAAACAACAACAAAACCTTCTAGTTTAGAATTATATATGCAGCAAAAAGTCTTTCTTTAAAAACAAGGTGAAACAACACTACAGTAGAGAATTAAAGATCAGCAAATAACTGAAGAATATACATATGTGCAGGCTGAAAGATGGTATTTCTAAAGATGTCAATTCTCTCTGATTTAATGCTATCCTAACACAAAGGTCACAGATGTCCCACAGGTTTTTATGTACGTAAAAGCTGCAGGGTTGATTCCCCAATGTATACAGAAAAGTGAAACCAGTATTAATAGTTGCTAGGTTATCCAGACATCACAAAAACATATTTATAAATTTGTAAATTATAAAACTACATGTCCTCTAAAGTTCAAATTTTTGAAAGCTTTGGTTTTATAATTTACAATCCTGAACCTTTTGGGAGGAAACTAGTAGTAGCATGAGCTAATGACTTTTTTTTAAAGTATAATGTATAAAAATATGCCAAGATGGGAAAATTACTAAATTCATTACCATTAATAGTTTCCAAATGACTGATACAAAATGCCACAAGAATCACATGAAGGGGGAATAACCCGTTAAAAGTACTTTAGTCAGGTAGGGTGGCAAACAACTTTAATCCCAGCACTCTGGAGATAAGGGGCAGGTTGCTAACCAGATACTGTATAGAGAGTTCCAGGACAGCTAGGGTTACACAGAGAGATCCTGTTTCAAAAACCAAACATCATCAACAACAAAAAACATACTTTAACCACAGCATTCAGGCAGAGGTTGACGATTGCTATGAATTTGAGGTCAGCCTGGTCTACAAAGTACATGCCAAGCTAGCCACTGATACACAGTGAAACGTTTTCTCAACACCCCATCCTCTAAAACACCCAAAGTAAAAACAAAACCAAACAATAGTTTTCAATTAAATAAAGTATTTAAAATTCACTGACAAAGTCTCAGATTCTTGTTGTAACTAATGTGGAAGAAACTTAAACAGTTTTGATATTACACTAAAGAAAAATACCCAAATTATTTAAAATGCTACTAAAATACTCATTTCTAACTCTTTCTCAATATCAAGTCAGATTTCCTTCACTAAAATACTCAGACTGAATAAAAAAAAAAACTACCTACTGTCAACCAGATGTAAGTCTAAAATGACACTCTTGTTTTATAACTGTTTGCTATAACAAATATAGTTGTGTTATATAGAATGAGTATTTTAAAAATATGATTAAATCAAGGAAAATAAAAATCGATTACATTTTGCAACAATGACTAAAATCCTTTTCATTATGGGCTTAACAAGCTTATTTTGGGAAACAAAGCTCGGAAGGTTTTAAAGAAAACCAGACAATCTTGAAACAGATATAGATTTTGTAAATTTTTTTAAACGCAGATTTAAAAAAAAAGCATTAATCATGGCTGTTGAGATGGCTCAGGGGTTAAGAGTACATATTGCTCTTGCAGAGGATCTATGTTGGGCAGTTCATAACCACTTATAAATCCAGCTCCAAGAGATTTGACCCCTTTGGCATCCGTACATACTTTTTAAAAGATTTGGAAAAGACAAAAGCCATAGCAGGAAAAGTATTTGCAGTAAGCACATTCATCAAGGAGTTTGATTAAAAATCCACACAAAACTTCCAAGTAAATATAAATTAAGGAACTACAATAGAAAAATGGTCAAGAATGTAAGATTTAATTAGAAACTAGTCAAACAACCTGAAAACATGAGAATTATTCATTATTATCATCAGTAAACAGGACATTGTATAATAAAATCATGGTGAGACAACAAAGTGATGAACACAACATCTAAAACTGAAGCAATCATGCAAAATAGGCTACAAGGGTTGTTAAAGATGGGTACCCAGACTAGGCATGTGATGTGGGATTCCCCTCTGTATGCTGTGAATACCATTGGCTTGGAAACTGGCTTGGCCTGACAGGGTAGAACAGAGCTAGGCAGGAAAAACTAAATTGAATGCTGGGAGAAAAAAAGGGCAAAGTCCAGAGAAACCATGGAGCCGCCAGAGACAGACATGCTGAAACCTTGCTGGTAGGCCACAAACCTCATGGTAAAATATAAAATAATGGAGATGGGCTAATTCTAGATGTAAGAGCCTAGCAATACACTTAAGTAATGGCTAAGCAGTGATTTAATTAATACAGTTTCTGTGTGGTTATTTTAAGGCTGAGCAGCCAGGAACCAACAAGCGGCCTTCCATACAACAATGGTGCACACTTTAGATCTGACAAGTGGGTGGCCGAGGACGACCAAGGTTACAAAGAGAAACCCTGTCTCAAAAAAAACAATAACAACAACAAAAAAAGATGGGTTACTGGGACTTACTACACAGCTCATGGTCACCATCACTGGCACAACTATAGTGGGAAGCTGGGTGACACTCCTAATATTTATATGCAAAATTCTTGGAAGATGTTTAAGTTGAATTAGTAAGTAAGAGTACAATAGGTGTCAGCAAAATCTCCACAGGGAGCTTATTTTTCACTTTCACAACCGTAAAATCTGGTTGCAACCCAGTACAGTAGAACAGATAAAACAACATTCAATCTACCTACAGCAGTAAAAGAGAACAAAGGGGAATATTAAAGAATCCTGGAATGACACCTGCTACATAACAACTTGATTCAAAGATGCTATCAGTAAGAGGTTGAAAAAGGTAAAATTAATTGATGAAATCACAATTATAATTACCATTCCAAAGCAGCACTGACTAGAGCTTTCTAGAAAGTCAGTCTTTTTGGTTGCAGTTATATATATTTCTAACATTGGATGTACTAGACCAGTTCCTGTATTTTGTATGTATTATACTTCAGTTTATGATTACCAAATGAATTTTAATGTGAAAAGTCAAGATTTAAACATGTCATTAATCTAAGGTAAGCATAAAAAAACTTACCAAAAAAGCAATTGATTGCCATTGTATCTCTCATAGCGTGCTCTTGCAGACATTAACCTAATAAAAAGGGTAAAAAGTTTCAAAAATGTCATACATAAATAGAAAATTAGATATATAACCAAATTCTTACTAAACTTGGAAATATATGTAATATGGTAACATTTTTTATAAAAGCAATAAATAATAATATTTTGGTTTATTGTTAAGTATTTTTGCTTTTCTTTTGATTCTTAAAATGTAACATAAGCCAGTCACAGTGGCGTTTGCCTGTAACCTTAACCCTTCAGGCAGAGAAAGACAGATTTAGGCAGAGGTTTATGAAGATAGGCACAAATTTGATGCTCACAAGAGCAATATATTAAGATTTTATACCCACAAATCCAGGAAAGTAAAACAAAACTACAAAACTAATTTTAAAAAAGCAATAGATATTAAGTGACAGAGTTTAATATTCTTAGGTACATGATAGTCTTTCAATCCATACTAAATGATTTTATTATGAGAAAATACACATTTGAATTGTTCATTCTCACATCTTGTGAAGAACAGTTACTGGTAACAACAAATATATACAAACAAAAGGATCTGTTAAGTATATAGATTTTTTTACATTTAAAAGAATCTTTAAAAACAAAATAAATACATATTAATACGACTTGTAATTTTCAGTTATATAATTATTCCTGATTTACTCACAAATACAACAAACGGAATGAAATAAAAAACAAGCTAGTTCATTATCAGAACCTTGGACACTGAGGAAAAGCAGCTAGCTACATGGGTCATGGAAAGAAAGATTGAATCAAAATATACAAAATCACAATTAGTGCTGTACAGCACTAAGTGTCTAGAATATAACCACATGATTACAGATACAGATATGGCTGTCCTCCCCTCCCCCGCAGCCCAGATAAGTTTATTTTCTGTGTCCTGGAACTCACTATAGACCAGGCTGGCATTGAACTCAAGAGATCTACCTGCCTCTGCTTCCTAAGTGCTGAGATTAAAGTTGTGCATCACCACAAGGCCTGACAAGGTCTGACTATCTTAAAGAGAAAGCAGAGGTTTATAAAGTATATTGGTCTTGGCTGTGGGAATCATGCCAGGCTAACATATTGTGCTTATTTTAAGCATCTTGCACAACTAATAAGAGAATCCTCAGAAAGAAAATAGGAGTTTTGAGTTCTGTTCTGTGCTCATTAGTATATGTCAACCTGATACAAACCAAGACATAATCAGGAAGAGGGAATCAAATTGAGGATTTGCCTCTATCAGACTGGACTGTATGCAAGTCTATAAGGCATCATCTTCTTGATTTAATGACTGATGTGGAAAGGGTCCAGATTGCTGTGGTTGGTACTATTGTGGGCAGGTGGCCCTGGGTTATATAAAAAAGCAAACTGAGTAAGCCTTGGGGAAAAGTAAGTGAGCAGTGTTCTTCCATAGCCTCTGCTTCAGGTCCTGCCATGGCTTCCCTCAATTATGGACCGTGATGTGAAATTGCAAGGCAAATAAACCCTTTTCTTCCCAAGCTGCTTCTGGCTATGGTCCTTATCACAGCAACAGAAAGAAAACTAGGACAATCCCAAAATTTGGCACATATTGAAAGCATAGTTGTTTGTGTTACTTATTCTCACAGAACTTTCAAGCACTGCAACAAAGACAAAGCTATCACTCCATTTTATTAAGAAAAAACTTCAGATTACATGATGAAGTCTTAAAATATCGTGAATAAGAAAAATTAAGATAACATAATTTTTTGCCTAGACCTACAATATTTCTAAGTCACCTGATTCCTGGAGACTACTTTATTCTAGCTCTCTTTTTACTCTGCACCAGAAACCAAAGGCCTCTTTCTTGTCTTGGCTCTGTCACAGAGGCCTCTATTCAAAACTTACTTCCTATGAGAGTAATCATCTAAATATAAGCAGCTAGCAGGGGACTTGACATCACCATGTTGTACTACATCACAGTACTTATCATTTCTGCATAGGATACATAACTTTTATAATGCTATCAAATTCTAGGCATTAGTGATCTAAGTAGTTCAGATACCTAAAAAAAAGATGACTGTAAAAGGTGCTTTACAAGCATCTGATGAATAAATAAGTATACAGCACAGATCAGTAAACCAATTACACTTACCTAAGCTGATGCTCCCTGAGGTTTGATAGTATTTCCATTCCATGGAGGTAAGAATAAATAGTATTTAAGTCCTGTGGAAAAGAAAAGTTTTTAGACCACTTTTCAAATATATATTCTAAAATATGACCTCCACCAATCTCTTTTTAAGCATGCAACCATTTAAGACAGAGCTCTGTTAACTATTCAAGAGCCACAAAAGCCTCTGAATTACAAATTTTTTAAAGATAAGGAGGAAGCCGGGTGGTGGTGGCCTGCACCTTTAATCCCAGCACTCAGGAGGTAGAGGCAGGTGAGTTTGAGGCTAGCCTAATCTCCAAAGGGAGTTTAAGGGCAGCCAGGAACTACATACACAGAAACAAGAAAGAGAAAGGGGGGGGGATGGGAGGGAGGGAAGGAGGGAGGGAGGGAAATAAACATTTCAATGCTGAATCTGCCATTTCAGCAAAGATTTTTTGGGTAGCCTGGGCACATAAGGACATTCCGTTCAAAGAAAAATTGTTGAAGACAGAGTAAGAGAGATTCAACCAATCACCCACCTAAAACTCCCAACAATAAAAACCAAGACACGAAAGACTTATATGTTCTATTATAGTTCCATTTATTTTGTAGGTGTTCTGGTACACAAGTGGTAGCCAGAGAACAACTTTTGGGAGTAGGATCTCTCCTTGCACCTTCTTTCCTGGGGAACAAAGTCAGGCTTTCAAGCTTGGCTGCAAACACCTTTTATAGGTTAAGCATTACTAGCCCCATGAAAGGTTTTTCAGAAGAGAGAATGACGTTAAGAAACAAAGGCAAGTGACTCTTGAAACAGAAATATAAATATTTGGTGGTATATATGATTATTCAAACCATACTGACTTAAAAAGAGTGTATAAGTAAGGAGTAGAAAGCAGCTACAATTTACAAAGCAAGGAGATGGAGAAGCTATACTGAAAGTGGGTTCCAGAAACCTACAAAAGATATCTCTTAGTTCTTGAAGACACAGTGATTACAACATGCAAACATATAAATATGTAAAAAAGAACAATTAAAAAACAATAACCCCAAGAGAGCAGCAGATTGTGGTATAGTGACACATCACTATAATCACAACATTCAAGAAGCAGAGGTTGCAGAATCCCAAGTTTGAAAAATCAGAAGTTCAAGGTCATTCTTGGCTATATGAGGAACTTGAGGTTAGCATGGGCTATAGGGGATACTGTCTCAAAATGCGAAAAAAAGAAAACAAAAGAGACAAAAAAATTTTCTCAGGTAAGTAATAACCAAACGAAAAGAGGATATCAAGTCGAGAAAGTTCATTCCGTAAGGAAACGTGTATTTCTGAGTGTAACTCTATGAGTTTAGAGATCCTGATTCCAAAGGGTCACACTTTTGTAGGGAAAAGGGAAAAGTACAAGACTCTTACTGAAGAACTGGTGTGCGAAGTCCTTCTGTCTATGTGTTACTTTTATTGTTAATGAATAAAGAAACTGCTTTGGGCCTATAGCAGGTTAGAACAGAGCTAGGTGAGGAAAGTTAAACTGAATGCTGGGAGAAAGAAGGTAGAGTCAAGAGACACCATGTAGCCGCCAGAGGGGAAAGATGCAAACTGTCAGCCAGAACCTTGCAGGTAGACAATGAGTCTCATGATACAATATATACTAATAGAAATGAGTTAATTTAAGAGATAAGAGTGAGCTAGAATTAAGCAAGAGCTAATAGGCCAAGCAGTATTGTAATTAATACAGTTTCTGTGTGATTATTTCGGTTCTAGGCATCCGGGAACAAACAAGCGGCCTCTTACAACAAAGAAACAACAGGCAAGTGCAGTTGATGATTTGGAAGAATAAAATGATCTTTATCAACAGGGAGGAATAGAGCTGCTTTTATACAGTACTTCATAGAATAGAATAGCAACTATTTATATAGTGTTTACATTTTTATTTATCAGTCATCTAAAGAAACTACAAATTATATGAGAGGGTATATATAGGTTACATGCAATACAACATTGTTTTATATAAGGGACTTGAAAATCTACAAATATAGTATTCATAACAGTCCTGGAATCAACCTCCTGAATTCAAAGCCAGCCTATCCTATGTTATGAATATCAAGTCAGCCAGGGCTCTATAATAAGCTTATCCCAAAATAATCACCCAGGAGAGAGAGAGAGAAAAAAAAGCCAGATTTGAGTTTGAGTTCTGGTACATTAATAACAGCCCTAGGAAATCCTAAACCAGCACCGTCAGCAATATTTGGGAGTTTGTGGGGGGATGCATTTTCAGACCCTAACCCAGAATCTTAGGGACTAATATGCTTCCACAGAAGCCCTACAGGTGGTTCCATGTATACTGTTTAGGAAACACTGGTGTATAGGCAGCACACTATATCACTCTAGATTAGTTGTCTGGTAACATAATAACTGGGAATGAACACAAGAACAGGATGCTTACTAAATATCAATCCTTCCAGTATACCAAACTTAAAGTCAAAAAACACTAAGCCTTCAAAAAAGATAATTTTCAGAATATGTGGGTAGTGGTTCTTTTCTAAACCAACAAACAGGTAGAAAGGAGTTTCTTGGGGGTTTTGCTCCAGTTAATCCATTATGAGACAAGCTTGAAGAAATATATGATTTATAAGGTTTCTTGCTGTATGCAAAAGAAACAATTTATTCAAACAAACTCTATTTAGCTCCTCTAAAAGAGAAAATGTAAGAACACCAATAGAGACAGACTGAAAGTCTTACAGAATTTTGTTTGCAGTCACAAATTCAAATGCTAGAAAGAGGATGCTAACCAATTACAGAGTGTACTTGAAAGCTATTTGATAGAGCCTGAAAGGAGAAGCAGTGAAAATGACAGAAAACTAACCATCTGGGACATGACAACACCCAAATCACTAGCATCTGTTTCTGTAACCATACCAACAAGCACTGCAGAAATTATTCAGGGCATTAGAACAAAGACCAATTTAGGATTAGAAATAGAAGATTTCACCTAAGCAAAAAAGTTGAAGTCATACAGTTAGCAACAAACCATTTACACAATGGTGGTCCCATTATAATGGAAATGAAAAAAATTCCTATTGCCTAGTGACCTTGTAGCTATAGCAATGTCATAGTGCAGTATCACTCAAGTGTCTGTGGTGATTCTTGAGTAAACAGAACTTCTGTCCTGCCAGCTGTTTAGAAACACAGCAATAGTTCTATAAAATAACCAGTACTTGATAATGATAATAAATGACTCCATCACTGGCTTAGATTTTTCCACTGTACTTTTTATTGGTGTTGTGTATGCTAATGCACACACATTTGTGCATACGGAGGCCAAAAGTGTTGTTCCTTCACCACTGTCTATTTATTTACTTATTAACGGTGACATGGTCTCTCCCTTACTGGTCTGAACTCACAAAGGTTGGCTGGCTGGCTAGCAACAAGAATCCTACAAACACCATTACGCGCTTGATTTTCCACATAAAATCTGAGGATTAAAATCAGGCTCTCATTCTTGAGCAAGACAAGTACTTTACCCCTTCACAGATCTTTGAAAGTGTACTTCTATTTACATTAAGAAAATAAAAAGTTCAAGGACTGGGGATATAGCTCTGGGTAAAATGTCTGACTAGTATGCATAAGGTCCCAGGTTTCATCCAACATACTGCCAAAATAAATTAAAATTCACTGTAAAATAGTATGTGCCATGTTACATTGGCAGAAACCTCACTCATTTCTTGATTGCATTAAGATATGACATCTAGTGTACTATGCTGGTTTGTGTGGGTACTTGCTGTGATGTCCATACAATCACAAAGTTGCCTAATGATGATTTTCTCAAAACATATCCCCACTGTTAAGTAAAGTATGACTAGAACTTCTCTGAAGGGCAGTGGTAGGGTCACTGTCATCCTAAAACAAATGAGCTCTATAAAGCACTCTTCTAACAACCTAAACCTACATCATTTATTGTAGATATAGTCTATGGGGTTTTGATTTGAGCCTGTTATATAAAATATTAAATTAATAAATAGTTCATTATTTGGAATAGGGTAAGGCTGTTTTTGCAATGTTGGGGTTCAGATTCCTTATAAATAGCATACAAACACTCTACCAAAGAATTATATTAGTAGCTATTTTGAACATACATTTCTCATTAACAGTTGGGACTTGCCCTTCTTTTTTAGCATACAATGTTGTGCTACAAAACATGCTGCTTTCTATTGAGAAATCTATGCAGCCATCTCTCAGTTCTACTAGGCTTGTATAGAACATTAACCAATACTTGAAAAACTCAGTCAGAAATAGCCAGTCGGGAGATCATATGGAAACCTACTAATGGAGAAGTTTCTTAAAATATATACATATACAAAAGGAATCTAAAGGGAGTCACCAAACAATGGTGAAGCCATTGCCCCAACTAGACATCTTTTTTTGAACTCACTGAGATCCTTCTGCCTCTGCCTCCCAAGTGCTGGGTGGTGTGCTACCACCGCCCGGCTCCAACTAGACATCTTTTACCACCAAATGAAACTTGCAGTGCCAGGAATGGGTTACATCTAATTGCATGAGTTGTTGGCTAAAGGGGCCCCATAGAACCCCTAAACAACTTAGGTGATTGCCAGGGATATTGGTTCATTCCACAAACTAATGGTCAGGCTGCTGAAGATAATATTTATATATTTCATTGAACATGGAGAAGTTGTGCTGGTGCCTCACTAGAGCCTTAACCCCTACTGACTAGGATTCATGATACTGGAAGGTACTCTACACGCTACCAGAGGAGAAAGCTAAACATCAAGCCAGCTACCACCCCTGAACCTACAATAGTGACCGGAATGCATGATATGCTGGTGAAATAGTGGCACAAATGCTGTGGGAGTAACCAACCATTATTTGATTGGATTTAAGACCTGCTCTACGAGATGGAACCTATGCCTGACACTGTTCAGATGACCAAGAACCTGATACTAGGGAACATGGGCCTAGAGAAAAACCAAATACTATTATTCTGCTACAATAACAAAGCAATAAAATGACTCCTAATAACATTTTTGCTATACCCATAGATCAGTGTCTCACTCAATCATTACC